ATGCCCGAGGAGGGTCAGGACAGGCATGCTTCGTGCAGAGTGGTATGCTTTGCTTCGGAGGTCTGGATGAACAGCAATGTCAGGATCTTTTCTCCGGGTATGCCGTCGTGTTGGACAATGAACATGCGGACAGATTGGCTGAATTTTGCACAACCTAATGGCAGATTGAGGCATGTCAAGACCTTATGGGAGCATGTGTATAATTTGAAACAGAAATTGATCATCACAGTCTGGTGAGAGTGACGTAGCGAGGAGTGATGAGGGGATCTGGCCGATACTCGACGCTCAGAGGAAAGGCAAAATGGATATATAATTGATCTGCTACTAGCACCATTGGTAATGTAACTCTGCGCAGGCTTCTAAAAGATAGGGACCCAGCGCTTCTGGGAATGCCTGAGTGCTGTGATGTCAGTTCCTGAATAAAATTAACTCAAAAGCATACATATTTTCTCATACTTTTAGAAATATATTACATTTACCTAAATCACTGTTTCCTAACATTTATTATTAGATATGTTTTGATTTGATTCAAGAACCGACATCACAGCACTCGGGGCATTCCCATAAATGATCCGTCTCCATCTTCCAGCCAAAGAGTCCCGATCCATTTATTATTAATAATTTACTAAATGTTTTTGTTCTAGGTTGATGATTGTTACATACACACATGACATGTAGACTGTACACACATGACATGTATACTGTACACAGATGACATGTAGACACTGTACACACATGAAATGCAGACTGTGCACAGATGACATGCAGACACTGTACACACATGACATGTATACTGTACACAGATGACATGTAGACACTGTACACACATGACATGTATACTGTACACAGATGACATGCAGACACTGTACACACATGACATGTATACTGTACACAGATGACATGCAGACACTGTAAACACATGACATGTATACTGTACACAGATGACATGTAGACACTGTACACACATGAAATGCAGACTGTGCACAGATGACATGCAGACACTGTACACACATGACATGCAGACACTGTACACTTTTGACATGCAGACACTGTACACTTTTGACATGTAGACACTGTACACACATGACATGTAGACACTGTACACACATGACATGCAGACACTGTACACGCGTGACATGCAGACTGTACACAGATGACATGCAGACACTGTACACACATGACTTGCAGACAATGTACACACATGACATGCAGACACTGTAGACACATGACATGCAGACAATGTACACACATGACAAGTAGACAATGTACACACATGACATGCAGACACCAAGCACATGACGAGCAGACAATGTACACACATGACAAGCAGACACAGTAGACCCATGACATGCAGACACTGTAGACACATGACATGCAGACACTGTACACGCATGACATGCAGACACTGTACACGCATGACATGCAGAGACTCTATACACATGACATGCAGACACTGCACACACATGACATGCAGACACAGTACACACATGACATGCAGACAGTATACACATGACATGCAAACACTGTACCCACATGACATACAGACAATGTACACACATGACATGCAGACAAGGTACACACAAAACAAGCAGACAATGTACATACATGACATGCAGACAATGTACACACATGACATGCAGACACTGTACACATTTGACATGTAGACACTGTACACATTTGACATGTAGACACTGTACACATTTGACATGTAGACAATGTACACACATGACATGCAGACACTGTACACATTTGACATGTAGACACTGTACACATATGATGTGTAGACACTGTACACATTTGACATGTAGACACTGTACACATATGATGTGTAGACACTGTACACATTTGACATGTAGACAATGTACACACATGACATGCAGACACTGTACACATTTGACATGTAGACAATGTACACACATGACATGTAGACACTGTACACATATGATGTGTAGACACTGTACACATTTGACATGTAGACAATGTACACACATGACATGCAGACACTGTACACGTTTGACATGTAGACAATGTACACACATGACATGCAGACACTGTACACATTTGACATGCAGACACTGTACACATATGATGTGTAGACACTGTACATATATGACATGCAGACACTGCAGACACATGACATGCAGACACTCTACACACTTCTGAAATGTGTTTACAGAATGCCTCAAAAATACAACACTATAAATCATACAAGTTGAAAGTAATGGCATTTTACTCACATATATTTTACTGTATGCAGATAAAGTGTCAAAAGATAAATGACAAGTGTATATGTGTGGTGTGCACATACATATATATCTGCTTTTGACTGTCTATTCATAATGTTTATTTATCTGCAAAGGCCCATACAATTCCTCTAAAATGTTAAGAATATCTATCTGATATTGGTCTACAACATCTTTGGGACAGTATCCATCATCGCTTGACCTGAAATGACAAGGTAAATATAAAAGGAACTTTACAACATGCTGTACCACATGTTGTACATTATCAACAAAATGTGCGCCTACTCGTAAGAGGTATGATATTAATAATCCATGAAGCAGGTCCTTTGCAAATGTCACTTGTATCACTCGTATTTTACCTTCCCCTTGATCTGTTTCCATTTATCTTGCTAGTCACCACAAAGTTCTTGAGTCCACTTCTCATTATACATTTGTCATAAAATCACTGACAGTCTACATCTAATTACTCTAATAAGTTTATTTTTCACCTGTCTTCAACATCTAATAAGTTTAGTTTTTACCTGTTCTCAACATCTAATAAGTTTAGTTTTCACCTGTCTTCAACATCTAATAAGTTTATTTTTCACCTGTCTTCAACATCTAATTACTCTAATAAGTTTAGTTTTCACCTGTCTTCAACATCTAATTACTCTAATAAGTTTAGTTTTCACCTGTCTTCAACATCTTATTACTCTAATAAGTTTAGTTTTCACTTGTCTTCAACATCTAATTACTCTAATAAGTTTAGTTTTCACCTGTCTTCAACATCTAATTACTCCTACTGTTTAGTCATCAGTTTAGGTTTCACATTCTTCTCAAACATCTAATTACTGCCTAATAAGGTGTTTGTTAGTTTTCACCTGTCTTCAACATCTAATTACCTGCTCTAATAAACTTTAGTTTTCACCTGTCTTCTGACATCGTACTTACTCTAATATGTTTTTTTTCCCTTGTCTTCAACACAAATTATCTCTGAATCAATTTTAGTTTCAAAAACCTGTCAAGGTTCTTCAACACCTAATTACTCTAATAAGTTTAGTTTTCAACTGTCTTTAACAGGACTTCCTCGATTGTTTTTCCATCATTCCATGATCTCCTTTGCATTCTTCTCAAAAACAATATCTCTGCCATGAGTAGGTGTTTGTTAGCTAGTCTGCTTACTGTCCCTGTTTTACTTGCATATAACATTACCTGCTCTACAGAGCACTGTAACTCTTCTTTTCACTGCTCTGATACGTACTTCCGGTATGACGGATGCATGTTTTTCATTCTGATTAAGATCCACAATTTCATCTCTGAATCAATTACCAGTTCAAAAACGACAATGCCAAGGTTCTTCACCACTGGATGCCTCAAGGAAGTATGTGTGTTCAGTAGATGAACCGTGCAACTGATATGTTTGTGTGTTTTTGTGAATAAGGCGTACGTCATTTCCTTAGCAACGACAGCATTGAGCCTCCTGAAGGCTACAAGTGGAATTTATGCTACTTACTACATGTCTGCATATCATACTGTATGTATCATCTAAAAATCTAACATTACTGATGTTATGTCCATCCATGGTGATTCCCTTAATCTCTTAAACTTATCACATATCTTTGTGTATTTGAAACTCCACAGAGAAGCAAACCCACTAAGAGGCTTCTGATCTTCACAAGCAGTCCCTTTCATTGTTTGAATCCATTTACCTTCCAATCACTCTCTGGGTGTCAACCAACCTGATCACGACTCATGGGTTTTGATCTTCTGTTGTGTAGACACAACTTGTCAATAATTAAAACACTGGTTCACTTTTAACAACACTCATCCCATACTGATCACTGCCCTTGAGAAAGTGAGCCACACATACTGTATGTCTCATCATCTTTTCTTCTATGGTACTTTGGTCAGGATTAGGCCAGCTTCCTGCCACCGATCCACGAGTCACCATCACCACCGTGTATCCAATTCCAGTTTGCTAAGCCCTGGGATGTGCCAATCCTGACAAGTTGCTTCTCTGAACCTTGTTCATGGTCTCATCTCAGTCTATACCCTTGGGTAACCAGCTTTCCTTGTGGGCCACACTGCTGCACTTGGTTGGGGTCAACCTTCCCCTGCCAACTGCTGTAAGCGGTTATTCAGGTGACACTTTTCTGGTGTTGGCTGATGAGACTTCATTGTTACTTTCTGTTAGTAGTGGTCTGATCTATTGTTTAAAAAAAAACACTGACTCTGGATAAGTAGAAATCCTGATAAGTGGAAGCATTTTCCTAGGTCCCTGCAACTTCTACTTATCCAGACTCGACTGTACTCAGCCTTCCACTCTCTATGGTCTGCACCCATCAGGGATTCCCCAAGATGAAGTCTGCAGATTCAAGACTTTGTTTACCTTTACAAAACTGGTATCTCTCTCTGGCCAATGGCACCTTTTACATGGATGCCCTAGGGCGCCTTGTGCAGCATTTTGAAAAAGCGTGCATCAGACACGTCTTCACTATATCATTATTTCACTCCAACGATTGAGGTCATGTGTGTAGTGGACGTTTCAATCGTTTTTGTCATAAAGTAGAATCTTTCAGCAAAAGACATCAAAGCCTTTGCTGTCAATACAGTAGGACACTCAATGGATGGACATTTCAACTGCAAACAGAGATTGAGCTATGTTGGATAAAACCCAGTGCCAAGAAGTCAATCCTCTGGCCTGCAACCTGTAATCTGTTCCTACTGAATATTAAATTAAATGCCTTTTCTGAAACAGAAACACAATGCATGTGTTACCTGGCAATAGTTACAATAGTTGGTTTAGGAAGATGTTCTAACAGATTCTTGAAAGACGTCTGAAGAGCCCGAACTTGTTCTGATGTGCTGATATGATGGGGAAGTTCAGTATCATCTAGTGTGCACCCAAAGTAGTGAAGCATGATAAATGTTACATTCCTTTCTTCTCTGTATTCAAGACAACTTCTACACAAGAGGTTCAGGTCAGCCTGCCTAGTGACAACAAATACAATCATTATATACAACTGAGCAAAAAAAGAAGAAAAAAAAAACATTAAAAACTATTTGACAAACAGAATCATTAAACAATCTGACAAATGGCAGCATTAAATATAATCAGGCAAACAGCAACATTAAACACAATCTGCAAAAGAAAATCATTAAACAAACTTAAAAATAGCCCGAACTTGTTAAATGTGCATGATGTTTAGCAGATTCATTACACAATCTGGCAAACAGCAACATTAAACACAATCTGCAAAAGAAAATCATTAAACAAACTTAAAAATAACAACTTTAAATACAATCTGTTTAGCAGATTCATTACACAATCTGGCAAAACAGCAACATTAAACATAATCTGCTAAAGAAAATCGTTAAACAAACTTAAAAATAACAACTTTAAATACAATCTGTTTAGCAGATTCATTACACAATCTGGCCAACAGCAACATTAAACCTAATCTGCAAAAGAAAATCGTTAAACAAACTTAAAATAACAACTTTAAATACAATCTGTTTAGCAGATTCATTACACAATCTGGCACGCAGCAACATTAAACATAATCTGCTAAAGAAAATCGTTAAACAAACTTTAAAATAAACAACTTTAAATATAATCTGTTTAGCAGATTCATTACACAATCTGGCCAACAGCAACGTTAAACCATAATTTGACAATCAGTCAATGCATTCTGGCAAACACGTTCACCACAAACACAATGAAATCATGAGGCTGATTTTAATACACACAAAAATACAAGGAAGAAGATATTATTACATGGTTTTTATTAAAAGTAATTCCCGTTTGTATTGGCAGCAAGTGCCATGTGCTAATAAACGCTGGAATGATCTCAATAAGTCTCCGTGGCTTATGGCCCTTGGGCTAACTGTTACAGCCTTTTGGTTGCCATTAATATCTTCACAGAGATGGCCTCGCTCGCTAGCGTAGTTGGCTAAAGCAGACTGCGCGACGACCGGTATGAGGAACTCCTTGTGGTCCGGGTTCACGCCTGGGGGGTAGGCAGAAAAGCCACATTTCTCCCAGATTTACGGAATTTATCATGGAATCAAGGCCCAAGGGCTGCGATATCCATAGTACCGAGCCAAAGGGTTAACAACTCATGGCTTCTGGATATTTAAAAAAAAAAAATCTTCACAGAGGCAGGCTTTGAACACCGTCAAATGGTTTTTCATTTAATAATAACTTTGGCAATCATCAGCTTTAGTAAAGATGTACTGCTGAGCACTTATGATCGACTTTAATTTGAAACTCCAGCACTTCCAGGTTCACCACCCATTGGAAATACTGTAGTAAATTTGCTGTGAACAGTAATTTTGTAATCTGACTGCTATCAGCCTTGCGACAGAATAAGGACTATATTCGCTATAATGTCTGACGGTTGTTGGAGTTTGAATTCTGAGTGGGGTACTAGTGTTTGACACAAACAATGACATGACGATACGTGACTTCATTCTGGTTGACCTGGTCCTGGTATCCACAAGAGACCTTTAGTAATGTTGTAGTCCAAGAATAAGAACAAATTATGAATTTTTTAAAAATTACTTGGGGGTGGGGGAGGGGTGGGGGTCACCCAGGTGTCTTGTCATTTGCTGACTTGGCAGTGTTGTAATGTGTCAGATCCTTGAAGAATACAGCGTGTAATGTTAATGTGCTTTGCTTATGGATGATCATTCTCATTATTTAACTGTTGGACACTGTACAAGAAGCACATTTGTAATAACTAAACGTACAGGCATATTTGCATGACGGCCGGTGAAAACATTGATCGACAACATTAAAGACACTCTCCGCCTTCATGGCATGACAATAGCCAGCGGCAGCCAGCGTGCAATGGATTGCAAATTATTCCTCCCCACGATGCTTAACAGCAAAAGTGATTTATGATGATGATGACATAGAATATATGACATTTAAATGATAGCAATTAAAATCAGACCAAATCACAACTCACTGCTGAGAATCCAGAAATGAGAATTGCTCCAGATTTTGTCCTGTAAAATCAGCAAGTGAAGAGCCTGACTGTGGCGTGGACTCTGTATCAGATAGCTTGTCTCCAAACCACTTAGTTTCCAGGTGAGAAAAACATTCTCCAACTGGTTTAGCTGTGTTTCCCTTCTCTTAGTGAAGGCTACAATATTCTATTTAGGAACAAGAAGTGAAATATCAACAGGTGAATATATGTAACCACATGTACACAAAATTCAAGACAGCTGTATCAGCCATGTGCACCTGTGGAAAGGTGCCCAGACAGCAGAGCATGTACTCCAGGACATATGACACACTAATGCAAACCTTTTGGCCAGAAAGAACAACAGTGGAACGTAAACTCTATGGACCACTGAATGAACTAACAACGACAGTAAAATTTAAACAAGAGACAAAATTGCTGATATAGACAACTTACTTCAGGCGAACGAAAGAAGAAGAAGAACAGTTAAACAGTCTTTTTTTTTTCAGTACACCAGCATACTGCATCAAGGGATAACACACAGGACTGAGACTATTGGTCACTGCCTTTCAAACAAAAAAGAAAAGAAATGACAGTGAAAAAAGTGCCAGAAAATATTCAACAAAAGTATAGCAGTATGACTTGAGAGTGTTCTGAAGAAATACATGAAACGCTTTTTCTAGATTTAAGAAACAATGATGCATAACTATAATTTGTTGACGTCAGCATAGTGTCTTCTGATTTGGTTGATGCGTATCCTTTACAGGACGTTGCAGAACCAACCCCAACAGCTACTGGCTGCTGTGTGGTTTTTCTAGGCAAATTTATGTCCAGTAGTTTGCCATTGCTTTCTGGACGGTCGGCTTTCTTGATACCACTATCAAAACCAAAGCAAGACGCATGGCCCGCAGCTGGGATCGAACCCGGCATCCCGGCATTACGAAGCCTTCACATCGACTTAGCCACAGAGCCGACGTCTTCTCATTACTAAGAGAAAAATGACATACAACTGTAAATTGCGTTCACACTGCCACTGATGAGTCCATAAGATTTGTATGTTTAAAAAAAATTAGTTTTAATTTTCTGACGCTCTCTGCATGTTGTTTTCTAAATTTATTTAAAAAGAAGAGACATAATTTGATGTCAATACATTCAACACAACTCTCCAGGCATTTCTGGCAGCCACTAATTCACACACACCTTGTCACATCTATCTTGAAATGTTTACCTTTCATCTCTTCTTTTACTGGTCCAAAATATAGTAGTGACTTGGGGCCAGATTGTACTCTTTGAGCCCCAGGAAGTTTATCATCAGAGGCCCAAGGGGTCGGCGCATCAAGTCATAGGGCCTCTAGGTAGAGATGATGCGTTCATTGGGCCTCTAGGTTGAAAACTTAAAATATGATGCGCATTCATGCGATGTTCATTGGGCCTCTAGGTAGGAAACTATGAACTATGAACGTATGATGTGTTTTTTTTGGGACTCAGATAGTTAATGGGACAGGAAACGTGAAGTGAAAGGCACTTAGAAGAAAATGTGCAAAAAATGCATTAAATGCATTTACTGTAAAAAAATCACTGGAAAATCACTGATTCAGTTCTGGGGTACACTGCAATGGCACCCACCTTTCAGGCATTATTTACAAAAGGAACACATCTTAGATGGTGTAGTGTGCTGAAGACTGAATGAAATTCAGAAGTCAAGCTTTTTCCCTACAGTCACTTCAGTTTTCCACCATGGTGCATTTAACTGTTGCAACTGTCTCTGACGTCACTTCTCAGTGTACTTGAACTTCTCAGTGTACTTGAACTTCTCAGTGTACTTGAACTTCTCAGTGTACTTGAACTTCTCAGTGTACATGAACCTCTCAGTGTACTTGAACTTCTCAGTGTACATGAACCTCTCAGTGTACTTGAACTTCTCAGTGTACGTGAACCTCTCAGTGTACTTGAACTTCTTAGTGTACGTGAACCTCTCAGTGTACTTGAACCTCTCAGTGTACATGAACTTCTCAGTGTATTTGAACTTCTGTGTACCTGAACTTGCCACTTCCCTTGTTCACTTGCTAGGATGTTGGTATGGATCACCAGACGGGACCTTTGTTCGGCAATAATTTCCTGTTTTACTACCCTCATTGCTGAAGCGTCAGTCTCCTAGCTGGCATGGACCACTGGTTAGATAGCCAGATTTATATTTGTTTCTCTGATATCTGGCCTCAACTGTGCCACTTGCCTGAAAGCAAGAAAATCCATGTTCTGATCACTAATATATTTGTGCATTCCTCGCTCATCATCATTATCATGTAGCAGGTCCTTTGCAGAACGTCGCTCTCATCACGGTGTGCCTGAAAGAAACTCGGTCTCTCGCCAGTTCTCCCGCCTCATATACTTTCATACTCAAGGAGTCACTTATATCCTGTGCCCATCTTTGTGTCAGTTGGCCCCTGCCCCTCCTTCCTGGTACCATGCCTTCTGCTATAATTTTTTTCCAATCCGTAGTGGCGCTTGATATGACCAAAATATTTCAGCTTCCGAGACAGGATGCTGTTTATTAGCCAATCTTCTTTGATGTTCAGATCTGTCAAGCATTCAGTTTTTCTCATATCCTCGCTACCATGTCTAGTTTGCTTTTCACATGTTTCCACTAAATACAGATATTTCAAAGTGTTAATATAAAAACATGCAACTGCAGACAGACCGACTGACCTCATCGGAGAAATCTGTGACTGGAGGATAGTGATAGAGTCTCCTCAAAGCCTCCTCCTCATCATGTCTCAACATATTTTTGAAAGGATTTGCAGTTGAAAAGAAGTCCAGATCAACATCCAAGATATATGGTTTGTTGCCGACAAGGTCTTGCAATTCTGCAATACCGCTTTGCTTTTTGGTCACGGTCTCCACAGATTCTTCACTGCTTTCTGGATTGTTTTCAGCTGCACGAATATCAGTTGAGTTGTTTCTATCAAATGAAAATATCAGTAAGAGAATCAAACAGTCAGTAAACATATAAAGAATCAAAGCATAATTGAAACTCCTGAAAAACATACATGAGAGTAAAGTTTCTGACTGTTTATAAAACACACAACAATCAAGTCTCCAACTATACAACACATGATAATCAGGTGTCTGACTGTATCTGAGACACACACAAATCAGGCGTCTGATTGTATCTTGGATACACACAAATCAGGTGTCTGATTGTAACTGAGACACACACAAATCAGGTGTCTGACTGTATCTGAGACACACACAAATCAGGTGTCTGACTGTATCTGAGACACACACAAATCAGGTGTCTGATTGTATCTTGGATACACACAAATCAGGTGTCTGATTGTAACTGAGACACACACAAATCAGGTGTCTGACTGTATCTGAGACACACACAAATCAGGTGTCTGACTATCTGAGACACACACAAATCGGGTGTCTGATTGTATCTGAGACACTCACAAATCAGGTGTCTGATTGTATCTGAGACACACAAATCAGGTGTCTGACTGTATCTGAGACACTCACAAATCAGGTGTCTGATTGTAGCTGAGACACTCAAAAATCATGAATCATGTAGAATGAGTACATAAGAACAGATCACCGCAGGGCACATTGGGGCATGTAGAATGATTACATAAGAACAGATCACCGCAGGGCACATTGGGGCATGTAGAATGACTACATAAGAACAGATCACCGCAGGGCACATTGGGGCATGTAGAATGACTACATAAGAACAGATCACCGCAGGGCACATTGGGGCATGTAGAATGAGTACATAAGAACAGATCACCGCAGGGCACATTGGGGCATGTAGAATGAGTACATAAGAACAGATCACCGCAGGGCACATTGGGGCATGTAGAATGAGTACATAAGAACAGATCACCGCAGGGCACATTGGGGCATGTAGAATGACTACATAAGAACAGATCACCGCAGCGAAAATTGGGGCATGTAGAATGATTACATAAGAACAGATCACCGCAGCGAACATTAGGGCATGTAGAATGAGTACATAAGAACAGATCACCGCAGCGAACATTGGGGCATGTAGAATGATTACATAAGAACAGATCACCGCAGGGCACATTGGGACATGTAGAATGATTACATAACTCCGCTAAGACCGGTCCCAAGCCCTGCTGTAAAAGGAGGAGGGTCTGGCTGAACCTGAGTGCTTCATGCGTCTCCGGAAGTAGTGGGTAACCGTGAATCAGCCAGACGGCCTGCACGGAGGCCGCAAGGAGGCAGCCCCTCCACCATGCAAAGGCACAACAGGCCAATCACCTGTTTGCCTTAAACCACGATTACAAGTAACTACAGAGAGAAAACCGGACGGATCTTAACGGCGACGAACTGGCATGGCTTACGGACTACGATTTATGGAATATAAGAGGAATTAACGGAAAGGAAAACGAGTTAGTAGGGGAGATGAGGAAAGCAAAATTAGGAGTCTTGGCTCTGACTGAAACCAAGAAAAAGGGGCAAGGAATCACAGATCACGATGGAAGTATGCTGCTCTACAGTGGTGTCCCTATGACGGAGAGAGCCAAGGGAGGTGTTGGCTGTATTGTGGCCAGGAATCAAGTTAGTAACATCAAGGGATGGAAATTCATCTCAGAGCGAATAATGGTGTTAGATCTGAAAGAAGAAGATAAAATTGTCAATTTTGTCATTGTGTACGGGCCAAATGAAGATGAGCGAGTAGATGTTAAAGGAGAATTCTTTGAACTGCTCCAAAGGACCATAGATGACTGTCACGATGAAATTATCCTCCTAGGAGATCTAAATGCCAGAGTAGGAAATGATCACTCTAGATGGGGTGGAGTGATCGGGAGATATGGTGAAGATGTTTTGAATGATAATGGCAAGCGACTTCTCAGATTCTGCAGGGAACAGAACCTTGTCATTACAAACACAAAATTCCCCCACAAGCGTATACATGCATACACAAGATGTGAACCTTCAAAGAATTAAAAATCCATCATTGACTACGCCATAGTTAGGAAAAGTTCATTCAAGTTTGTGAGAGATGCCAGAGTCATGAGAGGACCAGAGATTGGAAGTGACCACTATCTGGTCACAATAAAGAGAACAACTGAAAGAACTGCTCCAACAAGGCAACACCGACAACCATGTAAGAAACCAAGCAACCAAGAAGGGATGAGGATTAAAGCATACAAGCTAAGAGAGCCAGATATTAAGGCTAGATACCAGGAGCTTATAGTGAAAGCAATAGGAACTGAAGAAGAATCATCAGAGGACACTGAAACCCTCTGGTGCAGATTCAAGAATATCCTCACAGCAGCTGCAGTAGAAGCATGTGGTGAAGTCCCAAGTGGAAGGCGGGGACACAGGACACCTTGGTGGACAGAAGAAGTCAAATTGAAAATAGGAGAAAAGAAAAGGGCATGGAAGCAATACCTGGCAGCCAGGAACACAGCTGAAGAAATAGGAAAATATAAACAATATGTGGCACTCAGAACAGAGACCAAAAATATTGTGCTTAAAGCAAAACAGAAATCATGGGAAGAGTTTGGAGAAAAGTTGGAAAAGAATGCAAAGAGAAAAACCAAAAACTGTTCTACAAGACCCTTAAGAACATGAGGAAGGAGAAAGAGTGCCCACTTAAATTCATAAAAGACAAGGAAGGGGCTCTGCTTACTTCTACAAATGATATCATGGGCAGATGGAAAGAATACTTCTCAGAGCTCCTCGGAGTTGAGGGAAGTCATGACCCAGAAATAATGGACCTCACTGCTGAGAAGGAATTCAATCATGGGGAAGATAACATCAGGATGGTAGAGTTGAAGGCAGCTATTGAGAAGATTAAGCTGGGAAAAGCAGCAGGTCATGATGGTATAACACCAGAGATGGTCAAATATATGGGAGTCGAAGGTGAGCGCCTTCTACTGAAGGTTCTCCAGGCAGCCTGGTGTAGCAAAACTATACCAAAAGATTGGGAGATTGCCATCATTATACCTATATTTAAAAAAGGTGATAACAGACAATGTGAAAACCACAGAGGCATATCCCTCCTCAGCGTTCCCGGTAAAAGTTACTCTAGAATTCTTGAGCAGAGACTTAGAAGTCTGGTAGAGCCACAACTGGACGAGGCCCAATGTGGCTTCAGAGCAAACCGAAGTACTCAAGACCTTATCTTCACACTGAGACAGATGAGTGAAAAAGCCCTCGAATATAAGAGTGAGATGCATTTATGTTTTTTGGATCTGGAAAAGGCATTTGACAAGGTACCCTGGAACAAGCTCTGGGACTGCTTGGCAGGGAAAAACATCCCAGCACCCCTGATCAGTGCAATACAGAGTTTCTACAAAAAGTGCAGAAATTATGTAAGAACAGCAGACCAAAAGTCAGAAGAATTTAAGACCACCAGCGGTGTTAGACAAGGTGATATTCTCTCACCTTACCTCTTCATTCTTATGATGGATGATGTCATCAAGACCTGTAAGGAGAAGACAAAGAAGTACTCTGTAGGGTACTGGAAGATGAGACCAATCTGTATATCAGAGCTGGCTTTTGCAGACGATGTGGCCCTGATAGCTAAATCAGAGGCACACCTTCAGTCCAACTTACTTGTCTGGAAGGAAGAGCTTGAAAAGAAAGGGATGACCATCAGTGTCTCCAAAACTAAAACCATGGTGATCTCAAGAGAGGAGAAGAAACACCAGATCATGATGGGGCAGTATGCGTTGGAGCAGGTTAACCAGTTTCAAATACCTTGGAGCTGTATTAGACCAAAATGGAGGCATTAAGACTGAGCTGGCTACACGAAAAGCAGCTGCTGGGAGACTCTTCCAGGCCATAAACCGAGGGTTCTTAGCAAAAGAGAAAGAAATTGGCAAGAGGACGAAAATGGCTGTTTACCGCTCTACCTATGTACCAGTCCTGACCTATGGGTGTGAGTCATGGGCAATGACAACAGCTCACAGAAGCCAGCTGCAGGCCTCGGAAATGAGATATCTGAGAAAGGTGGTCCAAGTGACAAGAAGGGACAAAGTCCGCAATCAGACAATACCTCAAGATCTTGATACCCAGCCCTTACTAACCCGAGTGGATCAGTCACAGTTACGATGGTTTGGACATGTATGCAGAATGGGAGAAAATCGGCCACCATGGCAAGCATGGGAGGCTAAGAACCAGGGAACCAGACCTCCGGGACGACCCAGGGTGCGCTGGGAAGACAACATCCAACAGTCCCTGACTGACAGAGGACTGGAATGGAACAAAGCCAGAAAGAAAACTGCTGATAGAGACGTCTGGTGATCTCTCTGGCAAACCTCTACACCCCAAGGTAGAAGAGGAGCGACTAAGTAAGTAAGTAAGTAAGAATGATTACATAAGAACAGATCACAGCAGGGCACATTAGGACATGTAGAATGAGTACATAAGAACAAATCACCGCAGGGCACATTAGGACATGTAGAATGAGTACATAAGAACAGATCACCGCAGGGCACATTGGGGCATGTAGAATGAGTACATAAGAACAGATCACAGCAGGGCACATTGGGGCATGTAGAATGAGTACATAAGAACAGATCACCGCAGGGCACATTGGGGCATGTAGAATGAGTACATAAGAACAGATCACCGCAGGGCACATTGGGGCATGTAGAATGAGTACATAAGAACAGATCACAGCAGGGCACATTGGGGCATGTAGAATGAGTACATAAGAACAGATCACAGCAGGGCACATTGGGACATGTAGAATGAGTACATAAAAACAGATCACAGCAGGGCACATTGGGGCATGTAGAATGAGTACATAAGAACAGATCACCGCAGGGCACATTGGGGCATGTAGAATGATTACATAAGAACAGATCACAGCAGGGCACATTGGGGCATGTAGAATGACTACATAAGAACAGATCACAGCAGGGCA